GCGGCACGTCGGTTGGCAAGGGCCGGGAGTCGGCTTGGCATGAGGCGATGAGGTGGTGTGGCAGGGCCCACAACTTGTGCTGCTCGGCTTGATTGAAGCCAAGGGCTAGCTTGGCATGGTTCGAGGAAGTGGCGTGGCATCATGGGCCATAGTTTGGGCTACCACATCTAGGTTGCTTGCTAAGAATGAGGAAACTGCTTGAGTTTGACTTATCAGTTGCCGTAGATAGAGCAATCAAGGTTGGAGCTTCTAATATCGAAGTTGTTGAAGATGAGTGTCGGATGAGCGAACTGTTGAGTGCGAAGTGGCTACTGCCCCCTAACCATTTGCTGCTTAGTTGGTCTTCGAGTATTCGATATTTTTAGTTGTATGGCTATCTCGCACTGGAGAGCAATTAGTTTATCCTCTCGCACTAGAGAGCATACCCATATGGGTGTCGGAGAATTAGTTTACCCTCTCGCACAAGAAATCAATTAGTTTATCATCTCGCACTGGAGAGTAGACCCAGGTAGGTGTCAGGGAATTAGTTTAACCTCTCTCACTGGAGAGCAATTAGTTTATCCTTTCACACTGTAGAGTAGACTCGTATGGGTGTCGAGGAATTAGTTTATCCTTTCGTACTGGAAATCAATTAGTTTATCCTCTCGCACTGGAGAGCAGACCCATATGGGTGTTGAGGAATTGGTTTACCCTTTCGCATTATAGAGTAATTGGTTTATCCTCTCGCACCGGACAACAGACTCATATGGGTGTCGGGGAATTTGCTTACCCTCTCGCACTGGAGAGCAATTAGTTTATCTTCTCATAATGAAAAGCAGACCTATATGGGTATCAGGGAATTAGTTTACCTTATTGCACTAGAGAACAATTAGTTTACCCTCTCGTACTGGAGAGCATGGAAGTTGTTGTTGTAATCACAGTTGAGGAAAATTGGATTGCTAGACAATTGAAATAATCCTCAACCTGTGAGGACTTGTTCGACGATTTTATTGAGACTTCGAACTATTTGTGGAACTCGCGTAAATGTGTACGTGGGAAGCGTGATGAGCTACTCCCAAACTTTCTTCAAGTATTGCGTCATCGTTAGATGTTTCGTCGTGTGTCCTTTTGAAGCTTGGTTAGTGATCAGCTGAGAATATGAATGGATTGTAAGCTTCTTCACCGCTAAGTCTTTCGCTAGCAAGGGCTGCTAATAAAGCCATGTTTTTTGCTTCATCATTAGATGCTCTGAAGTTTGGAGTGTCATACGTTTGGTTGGTAAGAGCAAGTCGGGTCATCAGAGCGGGTCGGACGGTTAACGTGGGCTACCCTGTGTCCAGTGTGCTTGGACACTGGGTCTAGGCTCGGTTCAGAAGTGTGATAAGCTCACGTTGGCCTTGGGCCCCCGAGCGCTAGGTTGCTTCTCCTTCTGCAGTTACTTGGGCTTGCGTTGATAAGATTATAGCTCGGGTCTGGCTCAACTGCCTTGCAGCGTAGGCTACAAATTGGGTTGTGCGCCAAGTGGACGAGGCTTGGGCCTGCACTACTGGGGCGGCGGCTTGGGCTGTTTCTAGTGTCTAGGCTTGCTACTTCAAAGTGGTGTGAGTCTAGGCTATTGGCTGCCTCACTGCTCCCTGTTCATCATGGGCTTACTGCCATAGAGCTGGCTCACTCCCCACTGCCACGGTGGTCCATGTGGCTATTATTGTGGTGGTGTTCCTTGGTGGCAAAGTTGCTCCTCTTGCCATTGTATTGAGCCTCATGGATCGTCGTGGTAAGGCTACTTCTCGTCCTCCATTATTTGATCTGGATCTTTGAACGTAGGAAGAATCATTTGTCATGATTTCTGAATTTCCCGCCATTGTATCTTTTTTCCTCACCTCTATTCAAAGAATTAAAAAATTCTAGGAATAAGAAAGTATGAAAAATTTATGAACGAACGAGAAATGAGAAACTTTGAATGCGAGAGTCTTTTTTAAGCGTGTGAATCGAACTCTCAATGAAATATGGGTCAAACAATCCCATAAATAGACGCCTCCATACTTGGAGACATAAAGAGGCAACATCATAAGCAGGGTGGGTATACATGAACGTTGCGTTTTGGAATGTTTGAGCGCAATTCCATATGTTGTGAATGATACCCTCCAAAGATGCATTCGTTCCAGTTTCCTTATTGATCGTTCGCACAATTGGCTTTGCATCAGTTTCAATCTCAATAGACTGGATGCCTTGCTTTGCACCCTCCTGTAGCACTGCCTTAAACACAGTAGCTTCAGCAATTTCAACATAATGGAAGTACAGGTTTCCTGATCCTCATACAGAATGCAGTAGGCCGGCAAAGTCCCTTATAACCCATCCCACTCTACCTTTATGTGATTGTGGATTCCAAGTTGCATCACAATTCACCTTAAGTGTCCCAAACTATGGTATTTTTCATCTCACCTTTCTTCCTACAAATTCTAGTTCATTGGCTCATTCCATTGCATATGTGGTTGTTGTGCTTTCTCGTTGTGCGTTGTTTTATTCAGACATTTGGATTTTGTTTTTCACATTTGGATTTAGACAGTACAATGCAGTGTTTACTTCTTGGTACCATTTCCTTGACTTGAAGGTTCCTCCATGTAAACGAAGCGCACGAGAGAGGGAGAGAGAGGGAGAGAGAGAGAGAGAAAGAGAAAGAATAATAGAATATTCATGTTTTAACTATTTATAACAGCTAAAGCCCATATGACATTCATAGAGAGTGAGAGAGAGAAGAAAAGAAGAGTCAAGTTTTAACTATTTATAATGACATAAAGCCCATATGGCATTCATCATTGTCTTGAGCCTAATTAATAAAAATGAGGCATTAATTAAGTCCAAAACAAAAATATGTCATTGATATATGGCTAGATAGTAAAGTTTTTATTGACTTTTACCTAAATTACCTTTTTTTATTTATTATTGTTTAACTAATTAGTTAAAAGGGAAAATTTGTCAATTTATTAGCAGACTTTTTAACTTAAGAGGTTATGTGAAAATGAATTAAAACTTGAAGGAGTGTTAGTGTAACGGATGAGCCAACGAGACATATTTAAGATGATATTCCTTGGTGTATGCTTTTCGTAGACGATAGTGTTAATAGATGAAACTCAAGAAGGAGTAATTACAAAGCTTAACCTTTGAAGGGAAGTGTTAGAATCTAAAGGTCTTCGCTTAAGTTGGTCAAAGACAGAGTATATGAAGTGCAAGTTTAATGCAAACGGAGGCTTAAATGAGTTAAAGGTGAGGATTGGAGATCAGAAAGTACTAAAGAGCGATCGCTTTCGCTACCTAAGATCTATCTTGCAAAAGAACGGAGAGTTGGATAGAGACCTCAACCATAGAATACAAACTTGATGGATGAAGTGGAAGAGTGCATTCAGTGTGTTGTGTGACTGTCGTATGTCACTGAAGCTCAAGCGAAATTTTTAAGGACGACAATAAGGCCAGCAATGCTTTATGACATGGAATGTTGGGCGGTGAAGTATCAACACGTACATAAAAGGGTGTAGCGAAGATGAGAATGCTTTGTTGGATGCGTGGGCACGAGAAAAGATAAGATTAGGAATGAGGATATCCGAGGTAAAGTAGGAGTAGTCGAAATTGAAGGAAAGATGAGAGAAAATCGGTTACGGTGGTTTGGACATATGAAACGAAGGCCTACTGATGCTCCGGTTAGAAGATGCAATTATGAGACAGAGGTTCAAGGTTGAAGGGGTAAAGGAAGACCTAAGAAGACTTTGGAAGAGACTCTAAGAAAAGACTTAGAGCACTTGGATTTAACGGAAGACGTGACACAGAACCAAGCGCAATGGCGTTCTAGGATTCATACAGCCAATCTCACTTAATAGAAAAATGTTTTATTGTTGTTTGCGTGTTTGTTATTAAGCTTTATAATTAAAAAGAGATATTAAACAAGGAAAGTAAGTATACCTCGTTGTTGAAGATTCTATTGAATAACAAGGTCAATAGCTTTATGATTACCCCAAAAAAAAAAAAAAAAGGTCAATAACTTTATATAATTACCTGGTTTGAGGATTTTCCGAATTTAAAAAGATTTCTCGTTTTTTGAGTTTTGTACATGGACTTGAATTTTGAAGGTCAATTATTAGAATAACTATACCAGTTTTTGTCTTCCTCAAGCTGTGGAAAACATTTTAGTAAGAAAATGGAGGATGTAAACTCAATTAATTAATCAAGAGCCCATTTCAAACACAAGGTGATCACTTTTTCATTTTAAAATGTGCCGGTGTAGATATAAATAATAAGTGGGGAGAACAAAATGTTTTACACATGAGGCATGTACATGAACTGCCGCCAGCCAGAAGGGCAAATGAATCCTTTGCATGCCTTAACCTATTCTTTCGTTTTGAGCATCATCAATGAAAGATGAAAATACTTTAGAATGGACATTTTACATTTGTTGTTGGTTAGATACCAATTTAATAGACGGGGTCACGGGCTGTATAATATACATGTTGGCCGAAAAATATAAATTCACATCTTTTTACATTTTGAGGTGGGATCTGTGGTAGAGTCAAGATTTCATGTGAGGAAGGACCTTTTTCAATTGCAAAAAAAAAAAGACGGATAACAATTACAAAATTATTAACCAAAACATCATAATAACACATGCATTGATAATATTATATATATACTCAATAATCATAATTGCCTCTTACAAATTTTCATATTTTGAAATCGTTGAATGATGAACGATCAACAATAAAATGTAAGATAAACGATCAACAATAAAAAATAAAAAAAATTATAAGAATAAGATAAATTTTACAAATAGTATTGTTGTTGTTGAATTAATTTGAACTTCCGTATGATGATACATATGAAATTTCTAGAAAGGGGAAGAATAATAGATTTGTAGTCTTGGAGTCCTACTTCCTAAATTGCACCGTGAAAGAAAAAGATCGAAGAAGATTTTTTTTAGTTGAAGTTATTGATTTTATATCAAATAAATAATGTTGGGATGAAATCAGGCCGAGTAGTTAGGAATTTTTTTTTATTTTTTTATTTTGGGTACAAAGGTGAATACATTATCAAACACAAATAAACAATGCAAGGCCCAAAGATAAATGAGCACAAACAAATAAAAGTGGACATGCCAAGCTAGCCCAAAACCTAACCAACAATTGAGGCCCAAATTGTAAAATGCAGCAAAAGAAGGCCTAGCCTTCCACTGCACCCGCCGCCACCGAGCTTCTCTACCAGCACAATCCCACACCACCAACCGACCAACGCCCTGCCAATTGCAACATCCAGCCACGAGCACCTCTCCGAACACAACCATAAAGACGAAAACCAACAACCAAGTAAAGGAAGTCTATGGGATTCCACGAGCAACACTGCCAACAAAGGTAGACAGTGAGAAGGTTGTGGTATTGAACACCCGATCCGGTGCGAACACTGGAATTCTACATACCATCTCGAAGTACCTCAACAAATCGCGATTATGAAGCGGTTGCATATCGGAGCAGAAATGAGCAAGGAGGAGGGACGCCGATGGGGTGTGAAGAAATAGGCAAATTAGGAAGGATAGCAGGGTAAAAACAGCATAAGGAAAGAGGAGAAAAAGGAAAGCACATAGTGGCGGAGCTAGAAATTAGACTAGAAGGGCCTTTAAGGCCCTACAAAAAAAAAATTAGAAAAATTAATTACAACACAAAAAAATGAGAGGAAAATTAAAGTTTTTGTTTTTTGTAGTGATATGGAAAATTTTAATCAAACAAGAATGGTGGAGCCTTAATTTGGTATAAAAATCTTGGTATTAAAATGATTACATCATAAGAACAAAACTTGTTCACGAGTTTTGATATACAAAAATTCACACATTAAATTAAAACTAAATTTAAGGTTGTAACTTAAAATAAGACATTGCTCTCGACTACATGGTTTTTATAGTTAAAACATAAGGCCAATTATAACATAAAAAAATAGGGGTTAGCTTTAATATGGTAACAAAAAAAAAAAAAAAAAAAAGATAAATCATAAGGGTTTTTTTTTTCTTTCAGTTAAAAAAAAAAAAGAAAATCTAAAAGTGTTGGCATACCAAAAGGTCCCAAACCATGACCTTTTGAAAGTGCAAAACAACACTAAGCCATGGGGCACACGCTAATTTTTGTAAGCATTTGTAGATAATAGGCATTAAACGTTGTAATTGCAGGGTAGGCCTAGGCCAATCCTAGGCTCTATGTGGCTCCCCCATTGAAATCCACCGACTCCAGCCATGACTAGGGTCGGTGGCATCAGATTTGAATGGACTTGTAACCCTCATAGAAACATTGAGAAAAACCCTCAAGCAAGGGGAGAGAAGTTTTTTGGAGTTGGAATTTGGAATAGGAGACAATAGGAGGGTTGTAAGGAAGAATAATAACAAAATGTCAGGATCAGCCTAGTCCCATCCTAATCTCTTCATCCTTTTGTCTCTGGAAGATATCCGCTAGTTAAAGAGAGAAAAATAAATTAGATCGCATATTTATATCTCACCGTGTTGTAAAACTTATGTTTACATATCTCAAAAATGTAAAATAAAGGGCTGCTCAACCTTTCCTTTCACCTCTCTCTGTTGTTTGCTTGGCCCAATGTTGTGTTTAAGTTATTATGTCGTTCAAGAGTTAGGATGAAAACAAAGGGGCCTAAGATATAAAACTCAGGCCCAACTAGTAGTTAGGCCTTAGAATCAACAAAGCAAAGCCATGTATTTCCCACCTTGACCAATTATTTACTCCTCAATTTATTACATAACTTGACGTTGTCTCTTCCATTCCTACCCATTAATTTTATTTATACTAGTCTTCATGCACGCACTCACATGCGTGCAGAAGGTATTTTTTGAATCACGAAATGCTATGCGTGACTTACACGTTTTAAATGTATTTATATACGCATATTGACAAAAGAAAAGTCAAACATTTGAAGTAAATGAATAATCTTAGATCATGCTAGAAGAAATCCCTCATAAACCAATTAAACTAGTTGAATTTACATAATAATATCGGCCTATATAGAATTTACATTAAGAATAGAGAAAATAATATTTAATAAATAATTGATTGAATCACGTTATTGCTAGCCCATCGTGAAGCTAAACACACCCCCTCCTCCTTAGTGTAGATAATATCGTTTCTTGAAAAAACAATCATTTGACAACTAATTTAATCGCATTATTATCCGCGTGTGAAATACCTTTTTTTAATAACTGACATTACACACTTCTTAAGATGTTTTAAGCGTGTTTAAAAATCGAGAAAATAATATTTAATAAACAACTTATTGAATTACATTATTGTTAGTCCATTATGAGACTAAGGCCACCTTCCCTCCCCTTTAATGTAGATAATATTATTTGTTAAAAAAAAACAGCAATCATTTGTCAACTAGTTTAATCACATTATTATACGTGTATGAAAGACCTTTTTCATAACCGGCATTACACGCCTCTTAAGATGTTTTGAACGTATTTTAAAATAGAGAGATTGAATCACATTATTACTAACCTACTGTGAGGTACTAATTAAAAAAAAAAACAGCACAAAAAAACTAATTAAAATGACGAAGACATTTTTTGAATCACGGCGTGCTACGCGTGACTTACACGTTTTAAATGTATTTATATGCGTAAATTGACAAAAGGAAAGTCAACTATTTCAATTAGATGAATAATCTTAGATCATGCTAGAAGAAACCAATCATAAACCAATTAAAACAGTTGAATTTACATAATAAAATCGGTCTCTATAGAATTTACATTAAGAGTAGAGAAAATAATATTTAATAAACAATTGATTGAATCACATTATTGCTAGCCCATTGTAAGGCTAAGCTCACCCCCTGCACCTTAGTGTAGATAATATCGTTTGTAAAAAATAAAAAACAATCATTTGACAACTAATTTAATCACATTATTATTCGTACGCGAAAGACTTTTGTTTATAACCGGTATTACAGGCCTCTTAAGATGTTTTAAACGTGTTTAAAAATAAAGAAAATAATATTTAATAAACAACTAATTGAATCACATTATTGCTAGCCTATTGTGAGGCTAAGCCCACCCCCTCCCTCTTAGTGTAGACAGTATCGTTTGTTAAAATAAAAAAATAAAAAATAAAAAATAAAATACAAAATAAAAAAAACCAATCATTTGACAACTACTTTAATGTAATTTAATTACATTATTATCCGCGTGTGAAAGACTTTTTTATAACCAGCATTACACGCCTCTTTAAAAATAGAGAAAATAATATTTAATAAACAACTGATTGAATCACATTATTGCTACCCCATTGTGAGGCTAAACCCACCTTTGTAAGAGTATATAACTAAATCATTTAGATTGTGCCATCTGTTGTTAATACAGCGGCTAGATTGATATCCTAGCTGTAATAAGACCAAGATAGTATATAGCTAAGATTCTGTAAGAAGATTGTATGTAGAAAAATATTTATTTCTCTCTCTAAAGTCTTCTCTCGTCCTTTCTCTTCTCTCTCAAGCTTTCTTTCTTCTTGTGTTCTATGTTAATGGCTTCTGTGTGATATGGTTAACAACCTCCTTCCCTTTAGTGTAGATAATACAGTTTGTTAAAAAAAATAAACAATCATTTGACAACTAATTTAATCACATTATTATCCGTGGGCGAAAGACCTTTTTTATAACCAGTATTACACGTCTTTTAAGTTGTTTTGAACGTGTTTAAAAATAGAAAAATTGAATCACATTATTACTAGCCTATTGTAAGGTATTGATTAAAAAAAAAGCCACACAAAAATTAATTATTAAAAAATTACTAATACAATGACAAAAATACCCCTGCCTTATTTGATGCATTATTTTGGGATGCCTTGAAGTTTTTTGTCTTGGGAATATTTTTGTTCAAATATTTTGTTGAAGTTTGGTGACACCAAAATCACTATTCACCTTCTATTGACTTTATATATAGATTAGTCATTAGTTGGAAACAATAATTAATCAACACAAATTCAATGTTAATAAAACGTGCATATTCATTGATCAAAAAAAAAAAAAAAAAACCATGCATATTCAGATAAAAAAAAAAAAACATGCACGAAAAAAAAAAAAAAAAACCACTCATTTTAGAAGTATTTTACCAGCCAAATAACGACAAAGAAATAGTGAGTGGTTAGTGTCGGGAAAAGTTATAATTGTTTTTTCTTTAAGGTTGACAACCAGTGATGAACCATGGTTATCCACCTCTTTCAAGTCTGAAGAAGGCTAATTGGAAAGTGCACCACCATCACACCTTTCTTCATGGAGACCTCCACCAAGTTTTCGAGCTCAAGGGGAGGAAGGGAAAGTTTTCAGGTGAAAAAAGGCGATATATGGTCTCAAGTAGTCTCCTCGGGCTTGGTTAGAGATATGAAGTTTGGTTATGACGAATGATTTTGAAAAATGAAAAGTCACTGTGCCAACATGTTAAATACAAGGACCATACTCATATAATTGTCATGCACCACTGCATCATTCTCCCCTTATCGAAAAAACTTGTTCTCGAGTTTTGCATTTTTTAATCTTGATTTGAAGTTAGGTTTTCGACCTTCCCAACAATATGCCATCTGTTGTAATGTTCTCAAATCTTGATCTTTAAGATTTCGGTTATGATTATTGATCGTACAGTGAAATGATGTTACGTTAGTAGGAAAGTTATTGAAAATGAGAGAAGTATTATTCTTTCTAATAATACACACACACACACACACACATACTTTATTTAAAAAATGAAACGTACTTGGCTGCAATATTGGACAAGTTCTTAATTAAGTTTAATTAACAGTCACAATGAACGATATTAGGGCATATTCGTTTACTAGAAACAACTTTCTGGAATACTTCTTGGGGGTGTCATGATCTTAGAAACAACTTGAGATGCAACCAACAAGATACATGTTTCGCCTAATGAACCGTAACTTATAGCTTTTATTCCTAACACTGTAATAAGAATGCAATCTGAATTCCATATAAGAGTACCTTTCCAAGTTGCGACAATCTGATTCCATGAAATGAGACTGAACCATTACAGACATGATTATTAGATGATAATAAAGAGAATGAACAGTTTTATAGATCTATATAGCCAAGTTAAATTAGAAAAGGATTATCATGTTTAGAATTTTTCTAGACATTACACTTTGATTGTGATATAAAAATAAAAATAAAAAGACGACAAATTTGATTATGATATTTGTACGGTGAAATGTTGCCACGTTAGTGGGTAGTGAGGACTTCGCTTCTTAGTAGAAATATATAAGCGCAGTATTATTCTTTCTGATGAATATAAGTACTGCTAAAAAAATGATAGAATTACAGGGAAAACCTGCATACATCAACAAATCCAAAACACAAAGTAATCAATCAAAGTTAGCATAATAAGCAAATTATTAAGCTGGATCGCACTTTGTTATGTAGGAGCTAGTGGGTAGTGAAGCCAGTCTTGATATTCTCAATGGTACTAACATCTGTCTTAAATGATTTGGCAAGGATCATGTTGTTGATTCCGGTGCCAAAGACAGACGGCAGGACTGTAACTGCTCTAGCACTTGCACTTCCGAATGCTGCAATGGCAGTGGCTGGCAACTGAGGATCCGAATTGTACTGGTAATGGACTAACCCTTTGGGAAAAACAAACAGATCTCCAGTTTGAAGCTTTTGCGTATAGAGATTGTTTTTTGTGTCGATCAACCCTACTTCCAAGGTACCATCAAGAAGAAACAACAATCCAGTTGCGTCGGGGCGGGTGTGAGGTGGTAATAGCGAGTTAGGAGGAAACTGAAGGACTGCATACGACACACTTTGGCCATTGAGAGCGGGGAACTCAACTCTGCTTGCCTTTCCTGCCTTAATGGTTTGAGGAGCTTGATCGAAGATGCCACGAAATCCAGTGAAAGTGAAGAACGTTCCATCAACCGTGCCGTTGTAATTCGGTGGGACTATAAAGTCTGAAATAATGTCAGGATCGCTTGCTAGTAATGCCCTTTCGAAGATGGCCAAGGAAAATGCTAATATGATCGGTACTTGAATCAATCTCATAGCCAAAGCCATGGCAGACAACTAGAATGTATGGGATGTATATAATGCCGCTGTTGCTCTTTAGGGTTTTGTTTGTGGAGTTTGTAGTGCATTGCATCGATCACTGACTCGGTATTTATAGGGGTTTGTAGGAGCTAATCAGTTTCTATAGGAATGTGTATATATTGTGTGTGCATGGTGGTGCTGAAATTTTCCATGTCATTTCTCCTTCTCTTTGTCCTGACTGAAACATGCCAAAAGCCGGCAAGAATATTATTTAGGAACTAACTGTACACAGCTAAGTAGCGCAACAACGCAATTACAATTTTTTTCATGGCAGATACATAGAGAGATCTGCCTACTTTTGGACATATGAAAATGAGAGGAGTTAAAATAAGTACCCATCAATGCATGCAAAGCACGTATAAGCGAGCAATGCGCACTAGCTAGTGGAATATCTCGCATACTTGGTCAACGATGATCATTACAAGCTTAGGAGATATTGAATACTAATAATTAGTTGGTTACAATGGATATTACTAAGTATATTATTAATTCTCCTTTGATTAACAGTGTACATTCGAGTATTGCCTTCCATCATTGATCCCTTATACCCCATATTCAGAGATGAAGATGCAAATTCTTATATAGTTAACGCAAAATCCAATGTGGCAGGCTTCGGGCAACTGGGGTAACTTGGGCACTTGGTTAAGCATATGTAACAGCAATTGCATGCTCAAACGCAACGCATGTATATTTGTGGTATGAATTTCATAATCAGAATCGCTCAATTTTTTAATCCTCAGTTGAAGATTATCCGTATAAAAGAACATTCGAATTGGAAATCTATTATTCATCTAAATGTATTAAACGAGAAATTAGGTTCTCATCCCTCATTTTTCTATTTAATTGATTGAAACCTTATTCTTTTGAATTTTTTTTATCAAGGTCCTGTGATTTTATTCACTTGTTACATGTCAACATATTTAAATTTAATTTTCCAAATGTATCGTTAAAAAGTTACATTTGGTGTATTTATATTTAAGGCTAAAATTTGTGTCATATATCGGTATTTTTAATTTTTACCCATTTTAAATTTGCAACCATTTTTTTTTTAATTTGTACCAATTTTCTTTCTAGTTTTAATTTGTATCCATATAATTAATTTCTTTTTATGCCCATATTTTTAAACTTTTATTTGTACTAATAATTTTTTTAATCTCTTATCCCTAATTTATTAATCATGTACCAATTTTATATATAAAAAAATGTACCACTTTGTTATGTAAAACATACGAATCTTTTTTTATATAAAATGTACCCATTTTTTTTATGTAAAATGTGCCTAGGTAAAATCTATTCTCTTTTTTAACTATAATGTATCCATATTTTTTTTTTTTTACAATATTCATTGAATTGTAGAAATACATACATAACCGAGGATAGGGTCCTAACAGTGAGCCTCAATAAAAACCTTGCCCAAGCTTTCAACCTGATCGAAGGAGAAAAGAGTATCCTGCACCAAATTAACTATTAAGACTATCCTCCAATAATAAATCAAAAATAACATCAGGGGGTTCTTTGAACCAAGAAATTAGGTGATCAAGCATTAGACTCAACTGTGCAAGCCGATGTGCCACTTTGTTTGTCTCTCTTGTGCCGAAAGAAATCTTCCATTGCTTAAACCCTTGAAGGATCAGCCGTGTATCAGCAAACAGGTGACCAAAATTACCATGCAAAGTTGTTCCCGCATTCTTAATAGCAGCAACCACCATGAGAGCATCCCCTTCCACCTGCACTTGTTCCTCACTCCAATGTCGAGCAAACACAGCACCGGCCCATGCAGCAGCAGCCTCTGCATGCATCGTCGAGCTGACTCCCATCTCCTGAACCACCATTGTTGCCATGAAACCTCCTGTTAAGTTTCGAACGACAATCCCTATACCCCATACGAACCATTCTCATCCCAAGCAGCATCAAATTTACACTTTATCCAACCAAAATCCGGATGTTTCCACTTCTGAACACGAACCGTTGCTGAGTGCGGTTAAACCTTATTCCATTTCTTGAATTCCGACAGCCACGTTTGGGCTTTAAGTTACACATCCAATGATAATGCATCCACACCCTTCCAAAGAAACTCGTTATGGACCTTCCAAACGTTCTACACCAACACAAAAAGCAACTCAAAACTATCCTTAGTTACTATTTTTGCCATATTGATCAACCACCCACCAAAGCCCTCCACTACCCTCGAAAACATGCGAATTCCCAATGGACTACCAAACCAAATAGCATATGATCGTGGGCACTGTAACAAAGAGTGTGCAACTGTCTCTGCCTCTTTATCACAAAAGCCACATATATCCTCTGTAAGAGTCTGTCTATTCTTCAAATTCACCTTCGTTGGCAATGCGTTCATACACCCATGCCAAACACATATTTTGACTTTCCCTGGGACCTTTGCACGCCATAAAGCTTTCCATGGAAATTTTGTCACCTCATTTAGTGTAGATCCAACCAGTTCATCGCTACCAAGACCATGACATGTTCGTGCCACAAAGTAAGCACTCTTAGTCGTAAATACATCCTTAGGCTCTTTAGTCCAAATCATGGAATCCGCTGGACTAAATAAACTCAAAGGGATACTCCAAATCAATCTTGCTTCCTCCTCCATAAACGAATTATGAATTAAACTTGTATTCCAATGCATACCATCATTGTCCACCATCAAAGAACGCACGATAAGAGAAGGGTGCACCCCGACCGGTTTGGGACTAAGCACTTTATAAAAACTATCCCTTGGTAACCAACTATCCCCCCTTATCTGTATACATAATCCATCTCTAACCCTCCATCGAGCACCCCTCTAAATGATATTCTTGGAAGCCGCCACACTTTTCCAACAATAAGAAGAATTAGATGAAGCTGAAGCTTGTAGAAAATATGTTGTGGGATAATAACGAGCTTTAAAAATACGAGCAACCAGAGAGTGAGGATATTGAATCAATCTCCACCTTTACTTAGCCAGCAACGCCATATTGAAAGCATATAAATCTTTAAATCCTATTGAAAGCATATAAATCCTTAAATCCTAGGCCACCCTCACTTTTTGGTTTACACAATTTTTGCCACTTCACCCAATGAATTCGACACTTAATTGCTTCCCTGCCCCACCAAAATTGTGCTACCATTTAGTTCAACTCCTCACAAATTGACTTTGGTAACAAGAATGTATGCATCGTATACAGTGGTATTGCTTGAGCTACTATTTTTATCAATATTTCTTTTCCCGCACTACACAACATGGAGCCCCGCCATCAATTCAGCTTCTTCCAAAGACAGTCTTAAATATATGCGAAAGTCTCCTTCTTTGACCGACCCACAAAAACCGGTTAACCAAGGTAACGGTCATGATAATCCACCGTTTCCATTCCAAGACAATCAGCCAGTAGTTGCGCATCCATAACCGTAAGGTTTCTACTAAAAGCCACACTGCTTTTGGCAAGATTCAATGCCTGTCCAAACGCCCGTTCATAAGTTCGTAGCAACTCCTTCACCTGTAAGCATTCCTGGAGAGAACTTCTAGCAAAGATAAAACTATCATCCACAAAAATGTGATACCTTGAATTTGACCTTGTGCTTCCCATGAGTCAAATAAAACCGACAATCCCTCTGCACATAACACAAACAAAAACGAAGACAACATATCACCTTGACGAATGCCTCGTTTAGGTTGTACAAGACCCATAATCTCTCCATTTAGCCTGAATGAATAGGATACAGTAGTAACACACATCATTATCCAATGAATCCATTCCTCCGCAAACCCTAACCTCCTCATCATTTGCTCCAAAAAACTCCATTCTATACGATCATACACTTTGCTAATATCTAATTTCAATGCCATCACCCCCATTCCACCCATTGTTCCTTCTATGCATATAATGAGTGATCTCTGAAGCTACCAAACAATTATTTGAGATTAATCGGCTTGGAATAAATACACTTTGAGAAGGCAATACAATATCCGGCAATATAACTTTCAACCTATTAGTGAGAACCTTAGAACAAATCTTATAAATCTAATGTAGCCATATTTAACATTTTATTTTGAAAAATAAAATCTAATCAGATTTCACAGAATTCCAATTTGAAGAAAAAGATTAAAAATTCTTATATGATATAATCTTTGCATGATTAGACCATCTCCAACCATTGGCCTAAAACCTAAAATTTTTAGCCTAGAAAATTTAGGTTTTAACCCAGAAACAGCTTTTCTGCTCCAACACTTTTGGTCTAAAATTTTAGCTCCAAATTATTAAAGAATGAATTTAGACTAATTTTTTTCTTAAAGTAACTTTTTTAAAATAAAAAATTATGTAGACTATCCTAATTTAATTTTATGAACATTTTAACCTAAAAATATTTAGATTCTAACAAATACTGAAAAATCACTAACCGACACCATGAAACTCGTTAAACACTATGAAAAAATATGAAACAAATGAAAGATTTTTTTTTAATTATTTTAGCCGTTAGATTTAAATTTGGACCGTTAAATTATTTTTTTACCGTTGAATTTCATCAAATTAGATCTTAACCGTTGGATTCAATGAATTTATAAATATAAAACTAAATAATATATATATATATATGGTGGGCCAGCCCTACTAATCCTAGGCTAAATTTGGCTTCCATTTGAGTTTTAGGTTTTAGGCCACATTTTAGCCTTGGGTTGGGTTGAGTTTTGGGGGGGAATAGAAGTGGAAATTTGAGTTTTAGCCCAGGGTTGAATAAGGCCTTACAAGAAGAAATTATCAATTTTCGTTATTAAATTTCTTAATTAATATTGAAATTTAACATTTATATACATTTTGTCCTTAAACCCAATAAGTAGAACACATGGTGTGACATCCCGTCCCGAAACTATCGAAATGCATAGGTGAAATGACCATTTTACCCCTAGTTTGTTTTGTTATGTTGTTTGGTTGTTTGTGTGGTGTTGGCAAGTGTTGGGCCACACACACACA